TCAAGGGCTGGTGAGTAGTCAGAAAAGGGAGTATAAAGGCCTTCTCTGAAGTCAAATGAGGCTTCTAGGAAGGAGTGGCCCTCTGAGAGATGCAAATACTTCTGTTCAAGGAGAACCAGGTTGAACCAGAAATTATGCCCAGTCATTCTCTTTTCTTATTCATCCAACCACTTACTCAGCAGTAACTTTAGCTGAGCACCTAGTACTCACCACATCCTTTAGATGGATTTTCTTACTTTTCCCAACTAGCCTCTGGAAGGAGAATCTGTTACTGTAAGTATTTTATAGATGAAGAAATGGATACACAGAGAGGTTAAGTAACTCATTCAAAATAATAATATTCTGGCTCTGGAGTTCCAAGTCTGGGTGTGTTTTAGTGTTTCCTTCCATGTGCAGTACATGGGATATACAGATATAACTCCCAGATATACAGAGGGAGTTTATCAAGTGGTAACATAGAGAGGGGAAGAGATATGGGGATGCCACGGTACATAAGTGCAGGTGTGTCTGAAATCTGTCCAACCATAGCCATATTCTGGGTGTTCAGTAGTCACATGGGGCTAGTGGCTACCTTACTGAATAGCATAGATGTAAAACAGGAAGGTCTCTCAGACAAAGGTTGTAATGGAGCTGTGTGGACTTGCTGCCAAACACAAGGAAAAGGGGCAGCACTTTAGAGAAAGCAGTTGTATGAAAAGATCATTAGAGAGCATGAAGTTTGATAAGGAGGAATACTTGAGGAAGGCTGGTTGAGATTTTCATACAATTTATGAAACAGTTTACATGTAATCACCTTTCTCTCTGCCTGTATTTAGGCTTAGGTCTTAGCAAAATGCTGTTGATGTTGTTATTCCATTGGTTTTGTTGCGGTCGCTTCTGTTTGTTGAGTGTTCACTCTGTACCTGCCGACAACTTCTATGTGCCCGTTCCAAACCAGCATTGGATCCTGCCTGATCAAGTGGAACAAAGACACCCGTGGAGTCTATTCCAGCTATTCCTGGAATCTCAACTGCCAAATGGGAGAATGGAGGACAGGGGAGTCAGTGAGACAGCAAGAGGGCTCTGCATGATCTGAGAGGAGGACAGCCCCTGCCACTGAGCCAACAGAAATCATGACTTCTGGGCTGGCTCCCAGAGTCTCAGAATGTCATTCCTGGGCACCAGTGGGCTCTCTCTTACGATGATTAAATGAGTGCTCCATTTACTAATGCTGAACCATGGGTCAGGAGTCTCAATTATCCCTTCCATCTGCCATTGTCAGCTGTGTACAATTCTGAACAAGTCACTTCTCTTTTGCTTTTCCCTTCCAACCTATTCACTGAGAGGATTGGACCCAAGGAATACAAGTGTCACTGACATGCAGAAGCTTTGTGATTTCGGAAGCTTGTCTCTTCCTTCTTTAGATAGTCTAAGGCTTCTCCCTGAATGGGATTTGGAGGACATACGTCCCTGGAAATGGAGGAGTTTCTGCCTAAACTTTTAGAAGTTCTAAACCCTTTTATAGTCAAGAAAGATGCAGAGGTGACTTATTTCTGGAAGGAAACTGCTTGTGTGTTTGCAGAAGCTGTGGCAGCATACTTCCCTGAGGCAAATCAGACTTTCTGGTACATTCTCTCCAAATGTCACAATTCAACAGAAAAACACCTCTTCCCCAGGAAGTTGGAGTAGCAGCTGGAACTGCTTGATTTTTGAAATCATGCAAACTCCAGAGCTTGGGGCGGGGGGGTAGTTTGGGCAGTATGAGATTTTAAAATACATTTAGCAGAAGTTAATGAAGAAGTCCACAGCTTGGAGGCAGCCAGTGATGTTTCCATTAATGTTATTAAATATTAATGAGGTGCTTTTTCTCTTTGGGGCAAAACAGCATTCCTGATGTACCTTTTTTAATTACTACCTCGCTAACAGGTAGCAGGGCTGAACAGAACTGCTAAAGATGGTTACATTTAGGAAAGAGGTTACATCCTTCCCTAAGCTATTTAGGAGAATACCCTTCCTTCAGAGATTATTAATATTTCTGAGGGTTAGCAGGACATTCAATGGATTTAGTTCCATGTAGCAGTTGGAGAATTGTCTAGAAGCAGTGCAGACACACCCCAGCCCAAATATTTCTACCAATAAGCAATGCTTAGAAATCAGATGTTCAGGGAGTGCCTGCATGGCTCAATTGGTTAAGCATCCAACTTCGGCTCAGATCATGATCTCATGGTTTGTGGGTTCAAGCCCCATGTTGGGCTCTGTGCTAACAGCTCAGAGCCTGGAGCCTGCTTTGGATTCTGTGTCTCCTCTCTCTTCCCCTGCCCTACTTGTGCTCTCTCTCTCTCTCTCTCTAAACATTAAAAACTTTTTAAAAAAGAAATTAGATATTCAGTGCTGTGCTGGTAATTATTAACTACCGGCTCTCTTGGAAAAAATAAATAAATAAGCCCTCATTTGTAGCATTTGCTGATTGCTATAAATATCCCCAGATGTGGCCAATTTCAAGCTACCAGCATGACACCTATGAATATATAATTGAGAAGTACAGAAGCACAATGTTATGTAGTATTTTTACCATACAGTTGCATAGATGCAAATAACCTCAAGAGCATAGATAAAATAATAATACCTAGCATTTTATATATAACATAATTTATTATCGTCATTATTATTACTATAAATGCAACAAAATATCTGTGCTTTATGTATTTGTTATTTTTAAAATATAATTTATTTAATTAAGATTTTGTATAACTTATTTTTTGATAATGGCTGTGTTTAACAACCATTAATTAGCTGGCAAAATCCCTGAAATTTTAAGTCCATTCTCATTGGTGGTTACCAGCTATCACAACACTGAGTCCACATTGAACTTGTAGGCTGGGAGATCTCTAATCATTGATCAGGGGCATGGCAAAAGACTTGCTCGACAGACATGTCCCATTCTCCTTCTTTTCTTCCAGTTTCATTTAAACATGGCCATATCAAAGCTGGTCTTGAGTCCTACCTTTCTGGCTTAGGCATCTTTCGAGCACTTGGGATATTTTCTGTGGTCCACAATGGAAGGTCAACTATGGGCTCACATCTCCCTGCAGAGACAGTCCCAGTGTAATGGGATAATTAGTGTGATTACTTTTAAAACATAATTGGAGGGGCGCCTGCATAGCTCAGTCAGTTAAGTGTCCAACTTCGGCTCAGGTCATGATCTCACGGTTCGTGGGTTCAAGCCCCACGTTGGGCTCTGTGCTGACAGCTAGCTCAGAGCTTGGACCCTGTTTCAGACTCAGTTTCTCCCTCTCTCTCTCTCACCCTCCCTTGCTCATGCTGTTTCTCTCTCTCAGAAATAAATTTTTAAAAAAACATAATTGGAGTATTCATTCACCCAGTAAATACTCAACACCAACAATGTCCTAGGTACTGCTCTGAACTCTTGTTGCCAAACAAAAGATCTCTGTAGCTTCCATGTTTCTAACATGCTTTGGTCACAAAGATTCTGTCTGGGGACCCAGGGGGGGCCCATCTGATGAGATACTGAAGAAGAATACTTAGAAAACTACCAAATGCAAGACAACGTACCAGGGAATCACATAGGAAGAGACAAAGGGTTGAGAATTTGGCCTGGGCTGTTCAGGTATGAGTTTGGTGTAGAGGAATATGATGAGGAGGTAAGGTGGTGTGGAACTGGGAGAACAATTTATATACTCCTATCGAACAGTCGGTGCTTCCTAACTGTACTGCTTCATCCTGTATTTTCATGTTCTGCCTCATGCTGTACTATGCTGTTCTTTGGTTGGATTGGAAGCATGTTAGATCTCTTTCCCCAAAGACTAAAAGTCCTTGAGGGAAAGGTTTGTCACACTTCTTCCCGAGGACAGTGCACATATTGAGTAATAAATAAATCTAGAGTTAAACTTATATTCCTACCTCCCTTTTTTCCTACCCTAGTCACACATATAGACAATTTGCCTCTATTTTCATTGGACTTTAATTAAATCTTGGCTCAAAGAACATGGCAGCAGAAAAAGAAAGGAGAGGTAGGTCTGGAGAGAGTGACTTTCCTTGCTATTTTATGCTTTATTACCACTCAGTGGATCGATATTCAAATGTCCAGATTGTTCTGTCCAGGCTGTGGGTTTCAGGAAAGCCTTGGACACTTAATGTAGAAGCATGAATTCTCCTGTCATGTGAAGACACCTTCAATGACCTCTGGTTGGTTTCAAGAGCAATAATACTTATTTTATTGCTCTTTTTCTACCCTGACATTTATGCATCTGGGAACCTTTTGGAACTTCAAGTAAGGAAACACCAGTCACATTTCAGTTGGGGCCCCTCCTTTCTATGCTGGTCTGTTACTTCTTCATTCTGGAACTGGAGGAAAGCAGAAGGGAATCATACCTGCTTGCTTTCTTTATTTTATTACAGTTAGGCTTTTATTAAAATGTGGAAAAGAACCACAGAATTGTTGTTGTTGTAAGGAAACAGTAGACCTGTGTTATATGTATTGGGGACAGTTTGAATGATTGTATATATGTGAAAGCAAATATATATATTTGTTTGGGAAAGGGTTTTTAGGAAAAGGTAAAATAAAGTCTATGATATTAACTTTGGAATAACACCTGTGGAATCTTACCCAGAAATGAATCTTGATTTAAAATCATCTTCTTGCTTATCACCTACTTATGTCAGTAATTCCACTGTGATCCATAATATGCTTTTCATCTTATAGCATCTCTGACACCCACCCCAGTCAGTGTACCTGCTACATGATGTATATCCATACTTCTTTTTAACCTTGAATCTTCATTTGATAATTCACTAGTTCTTCTGTACATTGGATTTCCAAAGATTCAGGATTATTTCTAACTCTACAACTTCAAATGAATAATTGATGTCACTGGGAATATTTGAAAGAATGCATTGTGGCTTTTTGCAAGACTATAGGGATGTACTTGTGTTTGTGTGTGGGGGGGGTGTTTTAGCATTTGCTCATCTGTACCAGTGTGCAATATTCATTTTCTGGACAGTGACTATGGCTATGAGAGACACGGAGAGAGCCAGTGTGTCCCAGCTTTCTGGTACAACCCAGCATCTCCATCAAAGGACTGCAGCCTTGGTCAAAGCTACCTTAACAGCACTGGGTAAGTGAAACACCTGAAGGAACTCTAATCACTCATCTCCTGTTTCTCTAGATTGGCATCAAAGGTAGCATTTCTTCTGAAGCAACATAGAGTATAGATAGTTTGTTTACAGGTGGCTTCTGAGGAAAGCTGAGGCTTTGTTTAGCTGGGAGTAGCTTTAGGGGGAACATCAGACATTGACCAGATTTCAGTACCTTTTTCCATTTGCCTCTGACAGACCTTAGCTATTGTTTCGGTCAGGTCTTCTTTGCTGGAAAGAGATGCCACGTTATTTTTTGAGCCCCTAGGGAAATAAATGAACACAAGAGCAATGCAGATATCACAGTGCTCTCCAGTGATAGATGAACAGAAGCTGTCCTGGACTCCGATGCTGGCAACTTAAAATTTACAAGTCCCATTCTAGGACCTCCTGGAATAAGGAGGTCAAGACACACTTTAATTGTCACACTATGTGTGTGTTTCTCTCTTTGCTCACTTAGAGTTACTCAGATGTGTGAAACAAATATTTCCTTGAGACTTGGCTTCCCCTCTTTTGCCCCCTCCATGGCCCAGAACAGATTTGGCAAGTGAATTGGGGGTCTGAGATAGCACTTTTCAAATTTTAATGTGCTGCAGATCACCTGGTGATCTTGTTAAAATGCAGCTTGTGATTTGGTAGATGTAAGGTGGGGCTGAGAGTCTTGATTTCTAAGAAGCTCCCAGGCAACATTGGCATTGCTGGTTCCAGGACTTCGAGTAGCAGAGGACTAAGGTGTTCTGGACTCCAGTCTCAACTCTTCCAGTGGGTCTTCTGCCATCTCACAAAAGTTACTCACCACCTCCATACTTCTACCTTCTGTGGTTGTAAAATACTAATAGGTACAATCCACCCAAGTGATGTCTACAGAAGGAAGAAAATGATAGAAGAGATGTGTTGAGTGGTCCGAGCTACTGAAAAACAAGAAATTTTAGCTAAATACTTGGTTTTTAAGAAACTGTTGGGGCCTGAGCTGGGGCTTAAGCACTTTTGATGCTGTTTTATTGTGGGTGTCTAATTCAGGGATTTCAGCCATTCAGACTACAGATCCAGAAGCATGAACGTAAAGAGTTAGGATAGAAGAGAACACAGTGCTATCAAGTTTGAGGAAGAGGAATATAATGGGCACAAGTCATCAGATAGGCTACCAAATCCCAAGCCAGAGCAAAACTTGGACAGAACTGGAAGAGAATTGCATCACAACATCACATATGTGACATGTGACACATGTGACATGTATATTTACACCCAATTTAAAGCAACTTAGGTATATCAAAATAGCCAATAGGTATACCAAAATCCCAAATAGCCAGCCAAATAAATTAGAAAGTTGAAAAGGAAAGATAATTCATTTTTACTACAACTGTGTACACATACTTCTGTGTTGCTTAAATGCTGGCTTATATTACAGGTGATCAACCAGCTGGCCAGTTGAGGTGTAGAGAAAGAATAGATGATATCAAGTTTGCATGAGGTTATGGTACCCACCAAAATATCTGCCATAAGTAAAAATCAAATATCTTAAATATCTTATAAATGATTAATAGTCAGCAAGAAAGTATAAATTGTTTACAAAAGTTTGCTTATGTAGACCAGTGCTGACCAAAAGAATTATAAGAGGCACATATATAATTTAAAATATCTAGTAGCTACATTAAATATAATTTTAAATGCAAACTTAATTTTAATAAGGTAATTTATTTAACCTAATATGACAAAAATAGTATCATTTTAACATGCAAGACTAACCACATTTTAAGTGCACAGTAGGCACAGGTAGAAAGTGATTAGCATATTGGACAGCACATTTCTAGACCTATTATGAGCTCAGTTGGCAATTAAAAAATAATATGTATCTACAAGGGGATATATTATAATTCTCTCTGAGGCAATAACTACACACAGCATTTGCTCACCATCCTCCTGAAATCTTTGGATGGAGATAGGGCTGGTAGTTCAGCAATGTATGGTGGTGAGGGATGGAGAGAGGACCAGAGAAAATATCAGGTATAGAGGAGGATCAATATCATTCACAAAGAATTTTCTTTCATCTGCTTTCAGTTGAAAGTCTATCAGAAGAAGGCAGCATGGATGGTTTGGTTACTTACTCCTGACCTACAGGGTGAAAGAAGACATGATACAATGATGGTGGTGGTGGTGCATTTATATTATGTGGTTTTACCAGAATGTTGATGGTAGGCAGTCTTACAGATAGTGAAAATAATATTTTCCATGCAGGTTAGGACTGTGGACAAGCTCTTGGCTTCACATGCTGGGATCCTTGGTCAAGCGAGATGATGTGGCATCACTATGCACAAAGATGCCCTTGTCCTGAAAGATCACAGTGCTTTGTGGGGGAGTTTTCCCTATGCCCACTTCTTCTCTGAGCCATTTTCCCTTAGCAGGATTTAACAGGCATTTCAAATTTGTGCTTTGGATTTGGCATTCGTGTTGAGTGGGAAGTGAAATATTAGTAAGGAGAGAAAATGTGCTATAAAAGAGCCCTGTGGCTTCAGAGCAAGGACTATTCAGTATTAAAGGATGGAGTGATGTCCTGTGGGTAGAGGGAAGACAGGAAGAGGCTTCCTGATGAATTAGTGTTAGAAGTTTTGATCTTCTAGTTGGTTTTTGGTACAGAGAAAGCTGAAGATGGCCTTAGATAACTACAAACAAGTCTGTCCTTCACAGAAGGGAGTGCTTGCTTTTCTTGCTTCCTCCATCCAGTGGGTCTGCCTCCTTCCATCTTGCATGTGAGTCACACATTGATTTTTCTTGGCTGGTTTAGACACTGATCTAATCCGTGGCTCACCAGGTAGGATCAATAATAATGTTTAAAGAGCTACTCTTCCTCAGATGAAGGGATAGCAATTCCTCAGCATTTGTCTAGCTTCTTAAAGGGCTGTCTTCTTTGAGACTCAGTTTTTAGGAGCAGCTGTGCAAAACATCTCTCACTCTGGCTTCCTGGCATCTTTTTCTAACATGCACACGCATGCGCACGCGCGTGCGCGCGCACACACACACACACACATACACACACTGCCAACAGCTGTCAATACTCTTTAGGTACCGAAGAATTGTATCTAACAACTGCACGGACGGGCTGAGGGAGAAGTACATGGCCAAGGCCCAGATGTGTCCTGGAAAAGCTCCTCGAGGCCTCCATGTGGTGACAACAGACGGGCGCCTGGTAGCAGAGCAGGGGCATAATGCGACTTTCATCATTCTCATGGAGGAGGTAGGTGTTGTCCCTGGTCTCTGAGGTCATAACTCTCTGTTCCCGGGGAGGGAAGAAAAGAAAGATCATGTATTCCCACAGGTCCCTGTACAAGAGTCAATGGTCAGAAGACAGGAATAAGAGAAGGCTTGGACATTTAGAGACCCTCTTCCTTCCATCCCTTAGCACAGACCTAGGCTATAGGGGGCCCACTTGGCTCAAGGAAGATACAGATACGGATATGTTCTTTGAGATTCTCCTTTAGGGTCTGCTTTGTTGAAAGAATGTTTATCATCATAAGACCATATACTCTAAACTTTGCCAGAAGAAGGAAATTCATATTTTTTTCTGTTGCTCCCAGGGGCCTCTTTTGCTTTTTTCTCATGCTTAACCACCCTGATTAGAAAAGCCGACAAGGCTTTCAAAGAGTCTTGCAAGTGTGAGTGTGAGTGTGGGGGAAGATTATTGCAATCTTTTAAACTTACTTATATAAAGAATGTCACATTAGTTGCTTTTTCATCAACTTAGTGACTCCATTATTTCACTTTTTAGTGTCTTTTGCAATTAAGGCAGTAAAATCAGCCTGCATCCATTCATTCCAGGATGGAAATAACTCTATCCTATGCTTCTTGCTCCCTACATGGGCTATTTCATCTCTTTCCCAAACCAGGGAGCTTTGCAGGCACTGCTTGCTGAGGTGATGGGGCAAAAATCTTGCCTGATTTACAAAGGCCTCTAAATTTGTATGCAAATTGCTCTGTGCTCTTCAGATCTTGGAAAGAGACCAAAGCAGGCTGGGAGGTTTTTTGTTTTTTTTTTTTTTTTTTTCCCCAAATGTGAATAGTTTAGAAACCTTTAAAGTCTGGCCCATACTGAACAGGACAGTAAAGGTTCCTTATCCTGGGTTGACAGATTCTTCAGCCTTCACCCACACTAGGCACCTGAATTAAAGGACTTTAATATTCAGAGGAGGTCATTATCGTATTTCCACTAGGGAGTTTCCAGGACCAGCACTGTAAAAACCTTCTCCTGAATGGATGTGAAGAGCCATGATCTTATCCATTTGAATTGCCTCCAGTTCATTTCCACTTCAATTTATATTCATAAACTCAAGGGTAGTTAACATTGTGCAGGGGGCAAGGGAACACCTATCAATATTTCATTCACACCTGGGTTGCCATGAGGGAAGAGACAGAACATGAAAGTGTGATCAATGCACATTGACTGGACATAAGGATTGGCTCATAATTCCCCATGATGTATATCCTTTTTCTTTTAATTTCATCAGCCATCTTTTTAAACAGAGAGATCCAATTCTTCTTTTTCATCTAGAGTCCTTGTTTTGTGGTCAGGTTCAATTGCATTTATCCAATGTGCTGACCCAGTATAGTGGGAGGAAGAACAAGGAAGGGTGGGGTTCAGCATCAGCTCTTAAGAAGCTGAGCATCAGCTTGGGGTGGTAAGATGCACTCCCCTGAACCGATGACATCACTCCCCCAGGTCACTCTTGGCCTTCCAAGAGGCAGAGGCATCTGTGAGCTGGGATAATTGGAAAAGGCTTCAGGGAACAGGGTCTTAGGCAGGTTTAGGGAAATCTAAGGTCAACAGAGCATGGATATAATTTTGACTGCTACGTAGTATCCATGTGTAGACTGGGCATAATCATCCTACCTCATAGAGTTACTTTGAAGGTGTGGTATAGGATATATTAAGTGATTAGCATAATGCTTGGAATGTAATAAATGTTAAAACGTAGGAATAATTATAGTTATAGCATTGTAGTTGAGAGCATTAGTGTTGAAAACAGACTGCCTGGGTTCAAAATTTGTCTCTTCCACTACTAGCTGTGAGTCTTTGGTCTATTTATTTAATTTATTTTTGTCCCCATTTGTAAAATTGGGAAAGTAATACTTTCTGCATTATAAAGTTGTGAGATCAATTTCTTGGAACTGAAAAGAAACTTAGTAAGTGTTAGCTGTTACTGTTATTGCTGTTGTTATTCTTATGACTCGGGAGAGGAATAATTAAACTGTGTGTGTGTGTGTGTGTGTGTGTGTGTGTGTGTGTGTGTGTGTAGAGCTCCCTAGAGGCTTTACCTTGTCCCCTTGTGCCCATGTCAAACCAGCTCAGGCTGCCCTGAACTTGGGATTCTGGGGACAACAGATCCATAGTACCTCCCCATGACTCCCAGTGGATATCCTGTAAGTCCAGTGATTCTGTGGAGGGTGCTACAGCCCCCTGGGAGAGGCTCTAGGTCCTCAAGAGGCTGATACAGAAGGCACAGGACCAAGCATCCAATAGGAGTCAGACTGGACATGTGAGTGAGCCCAGGCCAACTGCTATTCCCCCATCCAGGGTGATCTCCAAAGGACAAACATCCAGCTTGACTTTGGGGATGGGATTGCCGTGTCCTATGCTAACTTCAGCCCCATCGAGGATGGCATCAAGCACGTGTACAAGAGTGCGGGGATCTTCCAGGTGACGGCCTATGCAGAGAACAACCTGGGCTCAGACACAGCTGTCCTCTTCCTGCATGTGGTTTGTAAGTAGCATGAGCCGTCTCCTTTCTTATATTCTTCCCAGTTGACAACTTCCAGTGTCCAGACTTCTGAGATGCAGAGCTGAGACCAGCTTTGCTGTGACAACTACCCTTTTGTAATGGCCCAAATTGAGAGACTGAGATGTGTGCTCATCCGTGTTTCAATTTTCTGACACTGAAGTAGATTGAACATCTTGAAAGTTTGGATAACATTACCAAACAGCCCCTGCTTTTCAGTCCCACTGTGCTCTGATGGAAGTGTGCACATGCAGACACGCATCAGGTAAAAGTCCTTTCCCTTTGGTTTGGAGACTCCTAAGAATATAGGAAGAGGCAGCTCACCTGGTTCACCACCACACATTCGCTTCCAAGCTTCTATGAGTGAAGGCAGCCCAATCAAAGTAAATTTCTTTTTCTATATATATAAATATATTTTTTTATTTATTTCTAGGAGAGAGAGAGACAGCGTGAGCAGGGGAGGGTCAGAGAGAGAGGGAGACACAGACTCCGAAACAGGCTCCAAGCTCTGAGCTGGCAGTCAGCACAGAGCCCGACGCGGGGCTCGAACCCACGAACCACGAGATCATGACCTAAGCGAAAGTCGGACGCTTAACCGACTAAGCCACCCAGGTGCCCCAATCAAAGTAAATTTCTAATCTCTGTTGGAAGAACCAAAGAAGGCTTAAAGAAACATATATAGATTTCTGAAAATGTAGAACTAAGCACACAAAAGAATGTAATTCTTACATCCAAGATTACTGTAAGTTCACTCCTATTGTAAACAATTCTAAGGACTCTCCAAAATGTTTTTATAAATTTTTTTTAATTTTATGGTTTTTTTCCCAAAATGTCTTTGTTGACCTAGAACATATTTCATTACTATTGACTGTTGCTTGGCCCAAATCAGAACAACAGCTGAAGTTCCAAAGTACTTTGTACTAAATACATCTTGTGTATTTGCTATCCTGGGACTTAATTCATGTAAAATGAATCTTAGATATTATGATTTTAGCATGTTGGTTCAAGACATGTTATTATGGGGCTGGTATTGATTTCCTGTGGCTTTATCAGTGATACTCATGGGCCTAAGGAATTCTCTGTTCTAATTTATATGCCCCATGATGTTTTAGGAGTAATACACCATATGGGGTGAAAGTTGTATGTTCCAAAAGAGTCTAAGTGAATACAAGGAGTATCTCTAATCCAGTGATGACATAAACTCCACTTTATAAACAGACCACATTTAAAAGGTTTCTATAAAACAGTAAGCTATTTAGTCTTCTAGCATTTTGATTATAATAGTAGCACAAGGGCCAGCAGTGATAGGGGAAGAGCACAGGGGGACACCTGGATTCTAGATCAGTTATATTCCAAACGATGCCAGGCTACGTGGCCACGAGACAATTATTTCTTCTCTGGGTCTTCTGAACTCCAATTTCAAAATGGCTTAATTCTAACTGGTACTTTGCCTCACAGGGCTTTTGTAACAGCAAACAGGATATAAAATTATTTACTAATTTATTCAACAGATGTTTGTTGAGTTCTGAATATATGCAAGGCATTCAGTAAGGCACTAGGGAAGCCACAATACAGATATGGCCTGAGTCTTGCAGAGTTTACATTCTGTTGGGGCAGGGCAGATACTACTAGAAATGGGCCATTAATAGCACTAGTCGTGATAACCATTCTACACCCATTCTGTGCCCGAAGCACCAGGTCCAAAACCCAGGTAGGTGGCATGCAGAGTGTTCACGAGCCATGGTTTAGAGCAAACGGGCCTCTGTTGAAAATCTGATCGTATCTCTTTTTTAAAATATCTAATATTGGTCAACTTCCTTACTCTTTACAAACTTCTGGTTGCTCATCTTTAATACTTAGGTTATAGGAAAGCTATGAGAAACAAATTGGATTATGCATATGATTCATGGGTCCCCAGGACCACCCTCTTGGGTTTGTTGATTCACTAAAAGGACTCACAGGACTCAACATATAATAATACTAAGACTGTGATTTGTTACAGTGAAAGATGACAAAGCAAGATCAGCAAAGGGAAAAGGTCCATGGGGCAAAGTCTGGAGGTAACCATTCATGATGTCCAGAGAGTCAGCCCCCACCATGATGTCATGCAAGACATGTGTATTTCCTCCAGCAAGGAGTTTTAGCAGCATGTGAGAAGGACTGTTTACCAGAGACACTCCTTAGAAATTCAGTAACCATGATTTTTTGGTGGGGGGACTGGTCAGTCAGGCATCCTCTGCCTAGCATATGCCAGAATTCCAGACACCCTAAGGAAAATACATTTTCAGAATAAACTGTATTGTTGGCATAAAGTATCTAGGCATAGTGAACCACTCTTAGCAGTTAACTGTTGACTGGAAATACTCCCAAAGCCAAGTTTCCAGATGTTGGCAAGAACCAATCTTGCAAACAAGTCTTTGTAAGTAAGGATGGCAATTTCAGGTCTGTATTAACATTGTTCTGCACAGTATGTAAATGCCACTTACCTCCCAGCTTGGCACCTGATGACTGTTACTTGGGATAGTAATTACTAAGTACTACTTACTAACTTTCTGCCTGACACTTCTATTGCATTTAAAAATGAAGACAGAGAGGGAAAATTTACTTTCCTCTATCCCAACGACCTGGCCCACCCATATTCCTAATTCTAACAATAGCGGACCTTGCCCAAAGGGCACAAAGACCAGTGTATCTTAGTGGCAAAAATCACAACAGCAAGGAACTGATTTATACTGTGGGTTATGTGCATGAAGGAGGAAATGTTCCTTGAAACTTTTATCATGCTCGTAATTCCCTCCAAATCAATCACGGCTGCATTTGCCAGACAGTTATTATTGTGGAAACTGCTCTTGGCCTCACCTTGGGCCATTAGCTAACAAAAGTAGTTGTTAGCCACCCATAATAACCCATCTCGCACAGATTATTAGATTTTTATCAAAAGAAGCACTATTTGACAGTGAGGATTTTAGGAGTTTTCTGTGTTCCCTCCTGAATCCTTCCCTTCTCTTCTCCCTGGTCAATGGTGTGTCCCTAGGTTGAAGCCTGGAGTATCTGGTTTCAGGTTCTTTACACTACAAAGCTATTACATGTTGTTGTTTCTTGAAATTCTATTTACCCAAACATGCTTGTCTTGAAGCTGGAATCAATGTGATCATGTTTGATGGTGTGCCAATTCATGGAAAGTGTATCCCTCTGCAATGAGTATATCTCCTTTTATCTTTTTGGGCATCAAAGTACCTGACAATGTTTAGCTGGGCCAAGGCCCTGAGTGACAGAAAGGTGAGGAGAATTTCCAGTGCCACAAGCCATTAGCAGTATCACCACTTAACTGTGGAAAGGCCCGGGCTTCTGATGAGCTTGCCACGGGAATGAGCATCATGCATTTTGAGGGAGGGATATAACAGGAGCATTGACTCCTAGTCAATGACTGGTAAAGGGCCTGTTTCCCAGCAGGGGAAGAATGAGCTCTGTTTCTGGGCACATAAAATGACTCTGGGTTGTTATTGTAAGACACAGAGTTCTCATTTCCTTCATAGGACATGGCTGTCTGGGACTCCTTCCCACTATCTCATTCTCCTACCCATGGATCAGTAAAACACAAACAACAAAGAAAGATGAATCAGATAAGGTCCTAAAAATGAGTAAATAAAGTCACAAAAGTAGTCAGTGCTTTCTCATACATTGTGGGTATTTGTATTTTCACCAACAATCAAACCATACAAAAATAATTGAGCAGGTTTATTATTGAAAATAACTAAACCTTCAGGGGTGCCTAATTCAGTCAGTAAATTGTCCAACTTCAGCCCAGGTCATGATCTTGTGGTTTGTGAGTTTAAGCCCCACATCAGACTCTATGCTGACAACTCAGAGCACGGAGCCTGCTTCAGATTCTGTGTCTCTGTCTCTCTCTGCCCCTCCTCCACTTTTGCTCTATTTCTCTCTCTCAAAAATAAATAAACATTTAAAGATGTAAAAGAAAATAATTAAACCTTCAGCCAAATGTGTATCTGAAGTGACAAGGTTGAAATTATTTGCTGGAAGAAACTATTTGCTGGAAGAAACCTTGAGGGCCATATGTCTGTGGTCAGGTCAGAGAGCTGTAGTCAAAGAGTGTTTTCAAGCTGTAAATACACAGATCCTCAAACACATGTTGATTGTTCAGGAAAGTACAGTATAGACCGTGGTAGACAGGTCTTGATGCTCTCCTCAATTAAGCATTAGTCTTTGTCCAAGCACCTTCTCCCCAATATAAATGTACCTACAATACAGGAGATGCCCAGTGAGACTCAGAAGAACTCCACTTAGAGGGACTTTTATGTAGTGGTGCACGAGACAGTGAGTGTAGTGGTGGTAGAAATAGTGCCCACCCAGAATTAACAGTATGGTACTTTTAACATCCACACATCACAGTCATATGTTCTTATTCCTATAAGGAAGGTAAGGGACAGAATAATAGTAGAGGACCATGTATGGTTGAGGCTCTCTAAGAAGGAGGAAAAGGTCATACAGCTAAATGTAAACCAGACCAGAAATGAGAAGCCATATGTTTTCTTCCCTTTAAACCGAGCTGTCTCCAAAATGACCCAAGACGTAAATAGTGAAGGCTGAGTGGCCTGAAAAATATCCCACCTATGAAAAGAACTCAAGACCCCCAGCTAAAAAGATGGGTGTACTGCAATCTTGATCTTTAGTTCACTCTCAACATTATCATGGTGGAAACCAGGAATATTTGTGCTAGCATAGTGTGAACAAGTAATTAGAAGAATTTAATTGGGTTTGGTTAAGTAGGAAGGACATAAAGAAGGGAAAGGAGGAAAAGGGAAGGAAGGAAAAGAGAAAAAAGGAAAGGAAAAGAGGAAGGAGCAGTGGGGTGGGGGGGAGAGGAGAAAACCCCACAGAGTTAAAAAAAAATAACATATCCACCCCCACAGTGCAACACTGACCTGTTAATATCTTCCATCAGCCTTTTCCTCTTACTTTCTTTTGAAAATGAATTAAACTAAAATCCTCATTTATTATGAGTAGGATATGTTCATATATATTCTCTTACTTGCTGCTTATATCAGTTTTCTGAGGGGAAAAAAAAGAGAACTTTGCTCACCTTTGTGCAACCAGCTTTTTTATTATTTGGGAACCCAGAATCTGTTTCTCCTTTAATTTAGGGAGATACACATTTTCCTTTTTGTAAAACAGCCTTGCCAGCTTCCAGATGAGACCCCCTGAGTATCGCAGATGATGGGCACAATGGCAGAGTGTTGAAGAGGGTAGAACCAATTAACAATCAAGGATAATGGAAGAGCCCTCTGTACGCTGCACTGACCCCACATCACAATACAGGCTAATTCTCAGAAATGAAAGAGACTGCTATTTATCTTCCTATTTATTGGCTAAATGTCTAGTAAACTAACTTTGTCCTTGGATTGGACGTTTCTAAGTATTCATGGTTAGGCACATCAGATGTAAACATGTTTCAGAAATCACTCAAAAAGTCTGAAGCCTGATGTGTTCCCTTTTATACAAGGTGCTTTATTTCAAGCGCACACCCACATCTCAGCATTTGTGAGTTTGTGATCCTTGTTTTATTATAGTTTATGGTAATAGGGGTTAAAATTAAAAATCAGGGAGTGCGATGAAGTTTGTTTATTCCAAGAACATAAACACTGACATCATTTTCCTTGTTCGCTCAGGTCCCGTGGAGCATGTTCATCTCCGAGTTCCATTTGTCGCCATAAGAAATAAGGAGGTCAACATCAGTGCAGTTGTGTGGCCCAGTCAACTGGGGACCCTCACCTATTTCTGGTGGTTCGGCAATAGCACAAAGGTTCGGCCCCTTCTGATGCATGTCTGAGTAGATTTGTGCTGAATTCTTCTATCTTCCAGTTACCAAGTTGATGCTGGGGGCCCTGGGGATGGGGGCAGTAGGGAGTACTTAACGAATCTATAAATCCACATAATTGAACACCACCTACATCTCTATACTAGATTCATTACTATAATAAGGAAAGTTCAAACAATCCTGAGGAAGAAAGAGTACTTTGAGAAGCTTATACACACCTGCTTCCATAATCAGTATTTCTAAAACTTCATTTGCTCTATTTTGTTTTAATCCTGTGCTCTCTAAGCACAAGCTATGTAATGTTAAGGAAGTCACATAGCATCTCTGAGACCCAGTGATTCCATCTGGAAATGTGAATTCGATCTCTAAATACAGAGACATGGAAATCAAATCCAGTAATGCATGTATGTAAAGAACCCTTCTCCAAGACCTACTAGGTGATCTATGAAGCCCAGGGTTCTCTTTGGGTTCTTTTATAGGCCAAGCCTTGAAGAATGGGACTAAGAGGGCCAAACTCTGAACTTGGCACATCCTCCCTAGTCCTAGGAATTGGTGACAATAACACCTGTGTCAGTGACTAAACTTGTATAAGAGGAGCTGGGAGCACTTAGGCTGAGGGTCTCTAAATGTAAGAGCTTCGTGTTTCTCTCTCTTCCTGATTTTGTCTTTGCATTTTTCTTGGTCTTTCTTGAGGTGATTGGCATTGACCATCTTAGAGAGACCTTTCATTTAAAAAAAAAAAAATAAGGTATTATGTCAGACTTGGGAATGCTGGCTCTCTCAAGAAAGGAGAAATAAATATTCAGTTCTAGTGTAGTAATTCCTTTAAAAAAGGAGTGAACATTGACAGTTTTGTTTGTTTTGAGATGACCAAAAAGAACTTCAGCCCCTGCAAGGTAAGAGTGGGAGATGATTCACCCTGTCTTCTTTAAGGAGGTAGCATGATATTGTGGTGAGAACATGGACTTTGGAGTCATAGAGACAATGCCAGCTGTGTGAGTTTGATGAAGTCATTTGACCTAAAATTGAATTCACTCAATGCAAATTGGAGAGAATAATGCCTATATCATTTTGATTGTTGTAAAAATTAAGTAAGATGCTATGTATCTCCCTAGTATATGTTAGGTACTCACTAAATGGATCCTTTTTATTTGATATAAAAACTGGGAGTTAGGATGGGTTGATAAAATACCTAGACTTATGGGTCCAAGGGACCCTTTTCTGTTTGCATTGTTCTTGCTGTATATTTTCAAGTCAGTTTCTTAATATACATTATGATGCTTTTGCATTTCTGGAATGATTATTCACCAGGACAAGAGATACAGAAGTTAGTTATTAAGATCCCCATTTGGTACATTAGAAAAGTGAAGCTCCCTGTGTGAGATGAGCATCCCAAGATCAAACATCTGGTTAATTGTGGAGCCAGGTCTCCTAGCTCCCATCCACCAGCCATCACCCCCAGCCCCAGGATGCATTAGCTGCATCACTCTGTTTGTCTTCTAGAGGTTACAGACCCTAAAATCCTGCTTCGATCACCAGCAGGCATACATGGTGAAAGGAAAGAGAGAATCATTTGGGAGGAGAAAATTAGAGGATTGTAAGTACATTTCTCTGCTAAGAACTTTTGGCTGTCAAGCCAGAGAATTCTTTTCTGTTAGTGTTCATTTACCAGGTGATCCTTACTGAGGCTGCTCTGTGCAAGGGGGGCAGTTCTTGGCCGTCATCAACACAGGGATTTACTCAGCAGCCCACAAGGAGCCGGAGACGCAGTGTTTCTCTACAACACCATTTTCTCGTTTGAGTGTTTTTCCCTGCTTTGAGTATTCTAAGACCTGAATTCTAAGACCTTTACTAGTTACTTTATCTGGTAAATTTTGATAAATAAACACAGAAGTGGGCAAAGTGACTGGAGAGTCAGATTCCTATTTGTCTAATGATTAACCTTGTTTGCTTAAACAAATCACTTGATCTAAATCTCAGTGTTTTTTCTCTCTATAGAGCAAGGATACTAATATCTAATCCATGGACCTCACTGAGTTATTATTTGAAATATATCTCTAGCTAATCTGTGTTATGCTGTATTAGGAGAAGGGAACTTACAAATTACAGAATGGCATTACAGTTTTGGTTTGGTTTGGTGTGATAGTAACCTGAGGTATTCCTTTGGTTATGAATTTCCACATATAAGCTTGAGCATGAAGTGTCACACAAATACCAGAATAGAGCAGTTTTCAAAAAGAAATCTGGGTTGCAGTCTAGACTCCAATTCTTCTAGGCTGTATGTGTGTAGTCAATCATGCAATTTCTCTGAACCTCAGTTTTGGTCTTTGTAGTGTCAGAGTATAATAGTAGTAACTATTAGTAATGAATAGTGAACAAGTAGTAACTGGTAATAATAACTATTCGTAACTTAGATGTGCTTAGAATACATGTAAGCCCTTGAAAATATTAGTCACTGTTATGCTTATCATTTGCATCAAAGCCATCTACATTTCGATGGTGTTTCTGACTTGCTTTCATACATGTTTCTCTTACATCTAAGAATGGTTATTTGGTCCAGGTGAAAGAAGTATCTTTTCAGGGCTTTTTGCTAGCACCATACCAGAAGCACATCAAGGTGGCCTCATTGCCTGATGAATCCAGTGAGCACGGTATTTAATTGGTAAATTAATGAGTGTCTGTGAATGTTTTGGTGAGAGCTCTGACTCGGTGCTGTTTGGTTCCCGTTAACTAGGAAATTGATCTGTAAAAGGAGCTAATACTAATTTTTTAATGTTTAGTTTTGAGAGAGAGAGGTAGAGCATGAGTGGGGGAGGGGCAGAGAGAGAGGGAAACACAGAATCCAAAGTAGGTTCGAGGCTCTGAGCCATCAGCACAGAGCTTGGATGCGGGGCTCAAACTTATGAAGCATGAGATCATGGCCTGAGCCCAAGTCAGACGCTAAACTGACTGAGCAACCCAGGTGCCCCAGGAGCTAATACTAATTTGGGGCATTTATTTCTGCTACTGCTTTTTAGGAGGCTCTTGCTACATATTATTTTATTTAATTATTAGAACATTACTGATGGAGAAAACTATTCCATTTTTCATAGAAAACACTTAGGCTAATAACCTTTGAAAGTTAATGTTTTGTGTGTGTGTGTGTATGTGTGTGTATGTTGTGTGTGTTTGAGTGAATTTTTCCCCTGTGAATTTTCGTATTAATCTCTTAGTCATAACACCTAGATAGATACCATTTTGCTAGCCTTTGTATATATTTAAGTTTTTTTACATAGTTCTAATCATAGTATATCCAAAATTACATATTCTACTTTTTCTAGTTATAAACTAGATTCACACATAAACACCTTTTACCTGTAACTAGATATTTCACAGAAGGTTTTAAGTAAGGTGGGCATAGTGAATGCATAGTCTGTCCAATTTGGGAATGGTAGCTTTTATCAAGGTATATATTTAAATTGTAGAGGTTTTATAATGTACAATATTAACGTGACTTACAGCATCTGGGAAACTGGTTTGCAGTTTCCAAAGATTTCCCTGAAGCTCCTTGTTCCATTAGTCAAGTGGAAATGTCATAACTAAATAGTCAGTCAGAGCTTTGTCGATATCTTTCTGGGCTCAGTGGATAATATGTGGCCTGTCGCACATGAGGGATTCTCTGTGGGCAGGGATGTAGCCCACAACCCAGGCAAGAATGAGGTATTATTCCAAGGGGTCTCACTGTGGACTGCCACTGCAGCTTGGACAAGGCACAGACATAGAGAAGTCAGTCGGCTGCCTGTTAGATTTGTAGGGCTCTGAAAGGCCAATTTGCTGGGATTAACAGAGGTCTGGCTTAATAAATGTGTCTGCTTGCCTAATAGATTTAGTAAATGAACCTTACAATACTTGATTTAATTTAACATTGCGCACTAGGTATCGGTGGCCAACAAAGAATTCAGGAATCCTGTTGAGTGTTCCAGGTTTGCAGGGAAGGTGAAATCAGCCATGATGCCATAGCAGTTGACAAAAAACAAAAGCAATTTGGAAAACAAAATTAGCTCCTGCCTCTTCCCTAGTATGGAAGCCTGTGGTCTGCCATCTGGGGACCAAGTGTTCCCATTCAGCACTATTTGCTGTGATTCAGAGCCCTGACTGGCTGGTAGGATGGCACATTCTCTCCCACCACAGATGGCCTTCCCTTTGTCCTGCAGCCCTGCACCCTTGTTTGGCCCCTGGATCTCCTGGGGAAACATACAGATGGAGAGAAGATCAAATGTGCAGGGACAAGAGGAATTTCACCACTCTCAAAAGAGGTGCCTTTGCCTGGCAGATTTCAGCCACCCAAGTCCAAGATTATAGGATTGTGTAGAGAAAGGAAGAGGGGAAATAGACCACTGAGAGCTGAAGAAGATGACATAGAAGTAGTGAACATTTCAGGAAGAGACAGCTGTTAAGGGGAAAAAATGCCTGGTGATGAAATGTGGGAAGATGATAGCTGAGGGTATAGAATCAAAATGGAGGACAATGGAATATAGCCCTGGTCAGAGAAAGTCATTCATGGAATCAGGAAAAGTAAAATCACATTGATTGTTCTTTTCATATCTTCTCTCCCAACATTTTATTATGGAAAACTTCAAATATACACGAAAGTTAAAATAAGTTTACAGTGAATATCCATATACCCACCATCTGTAGTCCACCATTAACATTTAATATGCTTGTTTTATCACATGTGTGTCTCTCTTATCTGTTCTGTCCATCCATCCATCAATCTTAAGTTTTGACTGATTTCAAATTTTAAACACCAGTATACCTCAATGCTTAAGCTTGCAAGTTATTAGCTAGAGTTCAGTATTTGTTTATATTTTTCTCCCCATGGTGGTGTAAAATGTATCCGTATGAAATAAACAAATCTAAAGTGTGAACTTTCTGAGTTTTGACAAACACATTCACATGTAACCCAAACTCCTGTCAAAATATGTGGTATTACCATCACTCCAGAAATTTCTCTCGTTCCCTTTCTCAGTCAATACTCACCCCCAATCCCCAAAACCAACCACTACTTTCTTTTCCATCATAGATTAGATATGCCTGTTCTAGAACTTCATCCATATGAACTCCTTTATGTAAGGCTTCTTTCATTTCTTACAGGTTTGGGATTTATCCCTACTCTTGTATGTATCAGTATATTTTTGCCTTAATGTTCTTTGTGTGAATATACTGTGGCTTTTTAAATTATTTTCCTATTGGTGAATTCCTGGGCTGTTTCCATTTTGGGGCTATTATGAATAAGCTTCCAAGAAATTTTTGTTTGTTTGTGGGCATGTGTTTTCTTTTCTCTTGACTAAATTCTCAGGACTGTAATTGCTGTCATAAAACAGGAAATGGTACAACTACTTTGGAAAAATTGTTGTAATTTCTTATAAAAATAAACTTTTTCCTAAGTGCTTATGTCATTTCACATCCTACCAAAAAATGTATGAGAGTTCCACTGGCTCTGCATCCTTAATATTTTATATTATCATTTTTAAAGAAAATTTAGCCATTCAGTTGTGTCTATAGTGGTGTCTCGTTTTTATTCCAAAAAAGTATGACTAGGAATGAAGCAAGCAAAAGTCTTCTAACAGGTAAGATTGAATGGGTTGACCAGTAGAGACTAGAAAGTTTTCCAAAAGCCATTCATTGATTCTTTATATTATGCTTGCTGAATAGGTGCTCACAACTCTTCCAACCCAAAGCTTTCATTTAAAAGATAAAGAACTAAGGCCCAAAATGGGGACCAACTTTGCCCAAGGTAATTTATTACAGGAGTAATTTAATAAAGCCAGAGTTTCAAATATTTGTTCTTCTTCCACCAGAGATGGCAACTCTGTGGCATACATATTGTTTTTCCATGGTCACGGCCAACAGTGGTATACTGAACCCAACTTGACTTCAGCTTCCTTCTCAACACAGGACACTAAACAGCCACCATCTGCCCCATGTGAGTTGACATACATCACAGAACCTACGTGCAACTGATTCGTTGTTTAATTCAGAAGACTGTACCCTTGCGTATATAGTTGCTGAGCCTTAAAAATATTTGAACTCTGGGGATATGACCTTAGTTAAAGGAAAGAGTGTATCTCTTTCTATAACTCTCTTCTTTCTTTCACACAGCAAACAAAAAGAAAGTGTCTCACAAGTGTAGGGCAGTATCTCTAATCTTGCCCACTTCCAGCTATCAGCCTCATCGTAAAATAATGGAGCTACAGAACTGTATTTTTATTTTATTTTATATTTTATTTTATTTTGTTTTGTTTTATTTTATTTTTAATTTTTTTTGAGAGAGAGAGACAGTGCGAGTGAGGGAAGGGCAGAGAGAGAGGAATATGCAGAATCAGAGGCAGGCTCCTTAATTTTGTTTTATTTTATTTTTTAAAGTTTTAATTTAAATTCCAGTTAGTTAACATACAGTGTAATATTAGTTTCAAGTGTATAATCCAGTGTTAAGATTACCAGGTGCTATCACAACCAGTGCACTCCTTAATCCCCATCACCTGTGTAACACCCCCCTCCCCACCACCACCACTTCCCTTCCGGGAAATCATCAACTGGTTCCCTGTAGTTAAGCCTGTGTCTCGATGTATCTCTCTTTTTTTTCTCCTTTGCTCATTTGTTTTGTTTCTTAAATTCCACACATGAATGAAATCATATGGTATTTGTCTTTCTCTGACTGACTTATTTCAGTTAGCATAATACTTGTGGTGCAATGGTAGTCTGTCTGACTCCAGAATTTTAAAGCAGAAGAAATCAAATCATGTTTCCAAGGCCCACTTGAATATTCTGAGCTGGAAAGGAATTCCAGTCTTGCAGCAGAGACATTGTCTGAAAGCTGCATCTTTGAACCTCTTCAGAGATCTGGCACACATGTCTAGGTCATGTTCAGTTAAGAGTGCATGAGTATGCTTTGTAAGTGCTAGCCCATGCCCACCCCCTCAAAGAGCTGCTCTATGCATCCCCAGCTGACCACATTCTTGGTCTCCTTCCCATTGCTGTCCTGACACACAGAGAGGAGAGGGAGTCTGCTCATCTGTGCTTGTGACCTTTCTGTAAAAGCTGCCTTATAGCAGCTTGTACTGTTCTGTCTTATAAACAACAGGGACTTGGAAAGGCACAGGCTTAAGCTGACCACTGAATAATGACTCTTCAACCTCAGGACCTGCATTCTTCTCTTCAATAAGCACCTGCTTTTATCAAGATCGTAATTCTCAGGAAAATAATATAATTATTATTTTTCTCTCTATTCTTGGGAAACCCCCATATGTTATGATAATAAAGCAGAAAAATAACTAAAATGGTCATAGATATGTATGTTTATGTATTTTCTGACCTATGTAAAATGCTAGAAGTGTTTGGCAATGGAAAACACAGAATAAAGCAAGAAGCCAGTGATCTGACCACGCATCCATCATACATATATATATTCTGTTTGAAGGCTATGTGCCAGAGATGGAGATACAGCAGGTGGGGGATACCGAAGTAAATAAAATGTGATCACCCCCTGAAAGGTCCAATCAAGGTGAATCAAATACTCTGAAATATTCTGAAAGGTCCAATCAAATATAGGAGAAAATGCAAGTGACATAGAATATTGGAGGAGAAGAGAAATAAATGATCTATTCCCAGAGCCAGCTGGAATAGGTTACAAATGTTGCTTCTACTTTGTTTTTGGAGAAGGAACAGAGTGACATGCAAAATCCAGAGTGTCCAGTCTTATCTTCATCTTTCAGGATTACATGTTACAATAAATTTCAAGCATATTAATACTCTTCCTGGATACTGGGTATAATCCCAGTTTTTGGAAGCTATGAAAAGTCATTTTTTTCCCTTTTTCAAGTGAAGACTGCTTGGGGATACACAAATACTATGCAGATTTGTGATAGTCTGAGATTTATAAGAAAGGAAGAAAATCTGATATCCCACAGAGGACTAAATCGATATTTCAACTCTTGTCTTTAGCCCCTCATCACCCTGGATAGCAGCATTTCTTTCACCTTCCTGGTGGAGGGAACCAACACCATCACTGTGCAGGTGGCTTCTGGGAATGCCCTTATTCAGGACACAAAAGATATCGCTGTTCATGGTAAGCCCTAAAAATGGTTCTGTGATGCCCCCTCTTGCCCAACCAATCCCCTCTGCTTACCATGATGGCAATCCCTGTCTGCTTTGGAAATTCCTCAGGCCTGAGAAAAATTATGTAGGTCAAAAGCTTTCCAAACACATTTTCTACCTTGTTCCTGAATAGACACTGAGGTTATAAGAGAAACTGGCACAGATGGGTATGGAAAAGCCCTTCTTATTCCCCTAGAAGTATGTGCACCACATCCTGACATGGTTCTCATTAGACAAAGACATATCATACATTGAAAGACACCAAGCTAGAAAGACTATCATAGAACCATCTAGATATGACATCCTCCTGATGTATCTACAACATGTATGCATCACCTACCCTTTGTGACCATGGGCACCAGTGATTTCAAAAGAGGAGTCATGGTCCCTGACCTTGCAAAACTCATAGATCAGTTACTGAGATGAACTACACATAATTAATTGTTGGAAATTCTATCATCCTTGGCTGCAAAGGCTCAAAAGCAAGGCTAAGACTATGAGGGCAGAGCTAGAAAAGAGCAGGTAAATGGCGCCACCATCCTGTTCTCAATCTTGGAGAACCATTCCTAACTACTAATTATTTTAAATCACATTTTGCTTCTAGCACCATCCCACACAACCTCCCCCAGGCACCTAAAGACTGCTACTCTACCTGGGGGTTTCTAAAAGGTTGTACTAAGGTATGTGATGCTCTCACTCAGACCATATTACTTCAGCCTCACTTCAGATGAGTGCCTTTTCCTATATCTCTGCAAACTTGATACTCTGGCTCTGTCATCGGGCATCTGAAAGCCTTTTTTCACCAAACATTTTTATTGAAGTGTGCATTTAACAAAATTAGTTTAGAGAGAGAGAGAACATGAGCCAGGGAGAGGGGGAGAGAGAGAGAGAGAGAGAGAGAGAGAGAGAGGATTCCACACAGGCTTCACACCCAGTGTGGAGCCCCACACAGGGCTCAGTCCCAAAATCATGGGATCATGACCTGAGCCAAAATCAAGAGTCAGGCACTCAACTGATAGAGCCACCCAGGTGCACGTATTGCAGTATAAATTTAATTCAGTGAGTACATAAATCATAAGTGTTTAGTTTCAAGACTTACCACAACATAAACAGACTTGTGTACCCACCAGCCAAGTTAAGAAACTGAGCATGACCCACACCCTAGACATAGGGTTTCAGTCTACTCCCATGAAACAGTTTCTAGGAGGAAGGTCACAGGAACTGAGGGAGGGCAAGTGTCAAGGCTCCATTCCAACCAAACACAGCTTATAAATGCATTATCATTGGCTCTGTGTGATACTACCAACAGTAGCAAATATCTTCTTCTTCTGGGGTTTCATGAGTACCTTTTGTTTCAACTAATATTTTACCAGAAGAAGGGCTCAAGATGCTAGGAACTCCTGTCTGGTAGGAGCACAAATCCACTTCCGTTCACTAAGTCCCACCTTCTTTTCAGAAGCCAAGAAACACGCTGATAAGAAGGAATTTTAGCTGAGGCTGCATGGAAGACTGGACCCTTTCCCTAAAGCACAGTGGTCTTGTCAACTGCATCCCTTTCTAGCTCTACTCACATACCCTCTCTCTTTGCAGAATACTTCCAGTCCCAACTCTTGTCATTCTCTCCAAACCTGGATTACCACAACCCTGACATTCCTGAGTGGAGGCAAGATATTGGTAATGTCATCAAGAGAGCTCTGGTTAAAGTAAGTTGGTTTTTTCTTTGCTTACATGTTAGTGTATCAAGAGAAAAACAAATGGTCTGGTCCAGAATAAAGTTTCCTGGGTTAATACCACCATTCTACAGTTCTATAAGAAGTCTCTCTCTGTAAAAGGAGAGATAAGAATGAGGAGCATAAAGCAAGGATGGAGGGAGTAGGGACAGGGGAAGAAAGACAGATAGAAAGACAGGAACTAGTGTTTGAAGATGGGAATTGGCCTTGTCTGTATACCGAATTTTCTAAGACAAGAGCTTGACCCCTTTAATGAACTAATGGATGGAGCACTCATTGAGTCTGTACAAAGATCATTCACTATGCTTGTTCTTTGCCCATCAGGGGGGATTCTTAACCAGATATTTGGACTCACAAGACTACCATTGGCTATATGTGACAATCATAAGGCTTCATACCTTCAGGGTAATAGAGTTCTAGATTTAACCCAAGGTTAGATTGGCCGTAGAGAGCTTTGAAAGGGTTTTGTTAACCCTTTGCTCAGAACTAGGTACTAGAATGTAATGACGAATACAACATGGGCTTTCAAACACAGAGATAAGTCTAACATGTGCTTAGTTCTATGGCAGAGGCATGGTCAGCATTGCAAAAGAACATGAAGAAAAGGAGGATTCACTCTCCCCAGGCAAATGCAGGATTAGCACATTATTTGTGAGTTAATAAATACTTGTGAGCTATTAGGATGGTCTTTTCAGGGAATATTTGAACTCTGTTTTAAAGAGTGCATGGTGGTTAATAGAGACAGTGTGGTGTCTTTCAGGTAGAATGAACAGTATGTGCAAGGCCATGGACTATTGAAAGAGTGGAGGATTTTGGGGAAATGGTAGAACTTAGTGTAGCCAGTCTATAGGCTATAAGGCAAGTGTGACTAGACTTGAGCTAGGATGGTTAGGGCAGATTGTGAAGCATCACAGAAGCCAAAAAGGCTCTGACATACATCTGGTAGACAGTGGGAATGGGACAAATGTTTTCTTATTCAAGCAAAATATACTGACAATAGTTTCATTTGTATTCAGACACTCATTCTGGTAACAGTGTAGATGTTGGGCTACTGAGGTGGGAAATGAATAGGTTGGGGAAGGAATTTCACAAAAGATGACTAGTTAAAAGAGTACTGTAGTTCTCTAGACCAGAGATAACAAGATCCCACAGAAGAAAGATTCAAAGGCCACTTAGGAAGTTGAACAGTAGAACTGATGACTAATAGAATATACTGTGAATGAGATGGAGAGAGAAGCTTTCTGATTCCAAGACCCGGGGGGTGGGGTGGGAGGTGGGAGATGGCCTTGCCCTTAGGCCATGGAGGAGAAACATGCTTAAGGAATGGTAATAGTATGATTTATATAATAGTATGATGTAGAGTATGGTAATAATATGATTTTGTATGTGAGTTCAGAGCACATGAGTAGCAGTTGGGTGTGATAACCAGGGTAGTTGAAAATATAGATCTGAAGGTCAAGTGCATGTTCTCCCTGAAGGCAGAAATGTGGAGCAGAGACTGGAGGTGATCAGGGCTCCCAGGAAGTGCTCCCTAAGGCAGAGGAGGACCATCCAGGGAAGGACCTGGAGAAGGAGCTAACAGAAAAAGAGAAGAAGGCAAAGAGAGTGATTTAAGAGCATCCCTGTGGGGAGTTGTCTACCAGATGATCTTCATCTGAAATCTTTTTACAAAAAGATTATTCATAGAAAGGGATGAAAATGCCCTTGTTCTTATATGCATATTAACTGTGAAACATCTATAATTATGTTATATTTTGTATGATTGTGTTTATTAAAAGCATACTAGTTTTTTAATAAATGACTTGGTAATCCTAATAATAATACTAATAAGTAATAATAATCAGACGTGTCGGCTGATGCCTGGGTCTTAAATCTCATGAGGGTCTGTCTCTCTAGTGTCCCTTTGGATGGAATTAATGAATCTAGACAGATAGCTACAGAGTCCCTCCAAGATTGCTAATTGACTGATACCCCCTAAGACCACTGTTCCCTGGGACAAAGGGTCAACCCAGCCATTGGGTGATCCTCTGTGCTTTGCCCTTCAGAATGGTCTCTGGAGACTTGCTTCCCCTGGCTGATTAGGATGAGGCCTTCTTGCCCCATAGACTTGGGCACAAAGGCTTTCACTTCTTGGGGTCATGCATCCCAACAGGAAACTGAGGCATCTGGCAAAGCCAGCTCCAAGGTATCTTCTGTGTTTGGTAGGCTCTTCGGGCTTCTGATTGCTGCTTGTTAGTTCTCTGCAAGATGATGCTCTTACCTTAATGTGTCCCTGGGAATTAACTCCAATGTGTGAACCTAGTCCCAAATAGGAATCAGAGCTGAGCAGATGGAGAACAACCCCTCCCTTTCTATTCAGTCTGGCGACTGTTTATTGAGTCTCTACTCTGTGCAAGCATCTTCAGAAGAGTGGGCTAGTCCCAAAGACTCCCAGGAACATCTGGGCTAACATTCATAAGAACCTCTCAGGGAAAAGATTATACCAGCCAAATATACTCTTGGTACAATTGAGATGATCTAAGTCCCTGAAACATGGTAGACATGGTATCTGGAAGTATACTGGTGTGAGAGGCTTAATGGAGAAGGTCATTGCCAATGGATATAGTGAGGGGAGACTTCTTGGAGGAGGCGGGTATTTCTGACAAATCAAAAAGTACCCTATTTGGATTGGCAGCAGGGAAGAGGTGTTCTGGATAAAGACCCTCAGGAGACACATAGGAAAGAATAACCATACTCTTTTCATGGGTAAGGGAAGCTCAGAGTTTTGTTTTCTTCAGGAATTTGCCTCCAGACAGGTGCTTAATTTTAAGTTTTTATCAAAAACTAATAAAATCCTTTTACTAAACATTCAGGAATAGAAAAAGTTTCTTTCATGATCTCAGCATCTTAACACAACTTGTACTATTTTATTTTGCTTTTTTACTCCTATACATTTTTACTTTTATAGAGTTGTAACCAAAGAAATATAAGGAAATAGATCAGAATGCAGCCCTCATAAGTAGTTTTCCATGTTGGCTGACTGTACTAATTATCATCGTAATGGTAAAATAACATTCTGTCAGATGATTATACCATTATTCCTTTTTTTTAATATTTGAGTTTTTCTCCATTTATTTGCTATTACAAATAATGCTTTTCTTCCTGTATGTGGCCTTTTCTATATTTTGGATCATTTCCTTAGGACAGACGCTCCCAAGTTACAGTTACCAAATGAAGGGTCTGAATATTTTAATGGCCTTAAAGTAAGTCTTTTGAAAAGCAAATTGGCAAAGTGAATTGATTTTTAGGGGTGGCAGCAACAAATGAGGGAGCCTCTTAAGCCTTACCAATATTAGCGATTTTAACTTAATAAAAAAAATCCTGCTTTCGTAAGTGAAAATAGGGTTGCTTGGCTTGTTTGTTTTTTTTTTTTTAATTTGCGTTTCCCCACCTTTGCTTGTAACCTCTCATTCCTTGTTTGCATTCCATGTCCATATTTTCACCAGAGCTCTAGTCCTCTCAGTGCAGAAAAATGGAAAATAAGGGAGAAGCTTTAGCCAATGTTCCCAGCAAACCAGATTTTGAAAATCATCATAGTATTTTAGTTTCAGTAAAAATGTATGTAAGAACCAGAGGAGGTAGTGAAACTAATAATAGCACTTCTAAGGGGAAACAGAAAGAAAGACTGGAGGAATATTGAAAGGTGTGCCTAAAATGCTGTTTAGAAAACACACATGAGGTTTCTGGGTGGCTCAGTCCGTGGTCAGCTTTCGGCTCAGGTCATGACCTCATGGTTCTGAGCTGTCAGCACAGAGCCTGGAGCCTGCTTCAGATTCTGTGTCTCTCTCTCTCTCTGCCCCTCCCCCGCTCACACTCCATCTCTCTCTCAAATAAATAAACATTGTAAAAATTTTAAAAAACAAAACATTGACCTTATATCCCTGTGCACTCTGCTCCTGGCTATGACCAGGGGAGGCCGGCTGCTGTAGGGCTCCACTCTGTGGTCTGAACCCCCCTGCAGGTAACCAGCGTCCCAGAAGACCAGATCCTGGTTGCTGTGTTTCCTGGTCTCCCCACTTCGGCAGAACTCTTCATCCTTCCCCCCAAGAACTTGACAGAAAGGAGGAAAGGCAACGAAGAGGACCTGGAACAAGTAAGTAACAGGACACTCGGCCAGGATGCTTGCCTGCTGCCCACAGTCTGAGGGCACACAGTGATACTTCCAGCCACAAAGGGAGGGGAGCTTTCTCCCTTGGGTCCAACAGCCCATGAGTCTGCGCAGCCCCCCAGGGCGGCGCAGAGCAACCAGCCTGGCCCGGAATTAGTGCCAGTGCACACAGACCGGAGCATTTGGCGTGCAAGAAGGGAAATTGTCCCTGGCAGCGCTCATTCCAACAGTGGGCATCCCTGAAAATTTACTTGGGTCTCCCGCCAGGTGACCTGCCCTGGGGGAGACACAGGAGGGAGAAGGAGGAATTTAAGTTTACTTTTCTGTTTCTGGGAAAATGTGCTTCTTGTCTCTAACCATCCTGGTCATTGTAAGTTCCTCTTTAGGAGAGAAAATGAATCGCTTCTAACCATGTTAGTGTGGTGAGAGATAGATTGCTTTATCTTGCTTTGACTAGGGAAACAGTGTGTCCGAAGGGATGGTGATTTACTATCCTCATCAAATGGGTGTGTGGCTCCTGTGATGGGCACAGCATTCTTTTTTTTTTTTTTTTTTTTACAAATAGTTTATTGTCAAATTAGTTTCCACATAACACTCAGTGCTCATCCCCAAAGTGCCCTCCTCCATGCCCATCCCCCCTCCCCCCCACATCCATCAGTCCTCAGTTTTTGTCAGCATTCAAGAGTCTCTCATGGTTTGCCTCTCTCCCTTTCCCCCACCATTTCCCCCCTTCTTCTCCCCCTTGTTCCTCAGTTAAGTTCCTCCTAATTCTCCTATACGTGCAAACATATGATATTTGTCCTTCTCTGCCTGACTTATTTCGCTCAGCATAACACCCTCAAGGTCCATCCATGTTGCTACACATGGCCAGATTTCATTCTTTCTCATTGCCATGTAGTATTCCATGGTATAGATAAACCACATCTTCTTGATCCATTCGTCCGTTGATGGACACTTAGGCTCTTTCCATGTTTTAGCTATTGTGGAGAGGGGCACACCATTCTTGAAGTAAAAGGGCTGGTTCTCCCTCACTCACCTACTTACCCTGCCTTCTGGTGACACTAAGTCAGGAGAAGTAAATACAAGTGAGAATTGGAGGTGCCTAGGTGGCTCAGTTGGTTAAGCATCCAACTCTTGGTTTTGGCTCAAGTCATCATCTCATGATTTGTGAGATGGAGCCCTAGGTTGGAGCTCTATGCTGACAGTGCAGAGCCCGCTTAGGATTCTCTCTCTCTGCTCTCTACCCCACTCACGCTCTCTCTAAAACCTAAACAATTGTTTTAAGTGAGAATGGGGCTTCTAAACATCAGCAGGAATCATGCATTTGCTCCCACATGAGGACATCTTCTGTGTCCCTGTGCTACTCGCCTGGCCATCCCCTCCTCCGCACGGCCATCCAGTCATCCTCTGGCAGCACAGATACCAGCACGGTCCATTTCTCTGGAAAATGCAGCAGATCCTTGCCTTGTACAGCTGATATTGAAGTTGGCCAGAAATAAATCCAACTTCTCAATGCATACATCACTTTTACAAGACCTCTTTATTCTGAAATAGCAAGTGGCGTGTGTGAACTATATTTGGAAGCTACAATATCCATCCATTTAGATAAATAGGTAATTACGGTGATGAATAGCAGCTGTGATATTAAGGCACGCACAGCCAGATAAGAGTTAGGGACAACAGCCCAAGTCGGCCTCGGCTTTCATGTGGGAATTACAGAGTGATTAAATCGATGTTATGTGTTCCGGGACTTGCTGGAGAAAAGTAAAGAGGAAAAATTATCCCATAAAAAGAAGGCAGCTTCTGCTTTGATGTGTGCCTTCAATTGTCTCCAAAAGAGAAAAAGCAGAGAAGTGGGCTGGGGACATATATGCCTGCTTTCATCCTGGCAGGGGTGTCTCTGCCCTGTGTGTTTTACTTCATTAGATTAAAGAACTAATAATCGGTTGATGTTCTTTCATTGTAAACCATAATAGGTTGTGCTATGGTGAGTTAGAAAGGCATGGATGAAAAAGCACCGAACCAGGAATTGAATGAGACATCCATATCTGTTATAAACTGTAATTCACTAAGTAACTTGGGATATACCTCTCTCTGTCTCCAGCCCAAGCAAAAAGCACCAACTACTTCCCTGGCCTCACAGGGCTCCAAGGGCTGTGAGAACCAAATTGATGAAAGTGTCCCAATATCCTGTCTTCTGATTGAACATGGTCACTGTTTGCCTGTTGACCCTGGCTTCTTACTCCACGAGGAGCAGTGTCTCATTTCATGTCTTCCTGTGCATCTCTCTCTCTTTTTCAGATTGTGGAGATGCTGTTTAATGCTCTGAACCAAAACTTGGTTCAGTTTGAGCTAAAACCAGGGGTTCAAGTCATTGTGTATGTCACACAGCTGACATTAGGTGAGTGCCTGCTGGGATCCAGGGGGAAATGGGTGTGGTGATCTGTTATCCTGGGAAGAAAAGGGAGGAGATAATTAGCAGACACTTCTCCACAAATCCCACAAAATAGCTTTGGGGGCAGGGCTCTTTTGTGTAGTGATGGTTATGAAAGATTAATTACATCTTTCTTGGGGCTTCCTGTTGAGGTGGCAGAAAGACTTCATTAGAAGTGGCTTTGCTGTTGAATCCCTGGATGACCTTGGGGAATACCTACAGTGTCCTTAGGCTTTGACTTAATTGCTTGCTTGGCTGGCTGGCTGGTTGATTGGTTGTTTGGTTGGTTGGTTTTTAATCTGCCATAGTCAAAATTATATGGGGTAATCCTCAGGGTTTCTTAATTTCTATGATTCTCTAATTCCATGAATTTTGGTTGGGAGGCTAGATCAGATAACTTAAAAACAAACAAACAAAAAAACACATTTCATTTATATCTGGTAAGTCTAAGTTGTTACAGAGATCATCTCTAGTGACTGATTTGTAAAAGAAATTTGAAAAGGTATGTCCTGTTGGGCATCCACTACTAGCTCTCTGGGAGAGCCTATTTGCTAAATATCTCTTATGAATATAAGACTTTGCAGATGTCGAGGTTCCAGATGTGCCCAAACTGTAGTGTTTTAGCAGAGAAGTGTAGAGGAGGAAAATGAAACCCTGCATCAGTATTTAATCGAAAGTTCCCAATGGGCCACCCATCATTATGTTGACAGGGACTCAGGCTAAGAGAAAGAGCATTCAAGCCCTCCTTCTACTCCCCTTAGCTAGACACACATTGTTCAGTTTACGCCAAGAACAGTAAATTTCCCCAGGCAGAGTAGAGGAATTGACTTGTCCTGAGAAGCTGTGATTGTGGATACTATTTTCATCATTGAAGCCAAGCTAGGAAGCTTGCAGGGCAGGACAGTTGGAGATTGGATATATGGATGAACGTCAGCTGGCCTCCTTTCTCCAATGTGATCTCCCTCCATGTAGTAGCTTCCAAGTGAGCCATCTGCCTTTTTCTCCTAGCTCCATTGGTGGACTCCAGTGCTGGGCACAGCAGCTCGGCCATGCTGATGCTCTTGTCGGTGGTATTCGTCGGCCTGGCCGTGTTTTTGATCTACAAGTTTAAAAGGTATGCACTACTATCACTCAGTATTGATGTTGGGGCTAGATCCTTGGGAGCTGATTCTTCCTATAACCAATATCCCTGCACTCATCTCGAATATGTGAAATTGATCCTATTTGAAGCTTTGTTTGGCACTGGGGGGAAGCAGGAATGGTTGAGGGCCCAGGAGGAATAAATGGGTTTAAGAATCTGTAGTCTATCCAATTGATAGATATATTGAGTTAAGAAAGTAAGGGATAGCCTATGAAACCAATTTTTCTTTTCTCTTCAAGAGAAGTGCAAAGATTTTTTAAACCTGACCTAAATTTCTAAAGTAAAGTCTTAGACATTCAGATCTTTTCTACAGCTTAACGTGCAATTCAGGGTGGTTAAACAGACAAAATGTAGCAGAAACCTGGTGCACACATGAACACACACACACATGCATGCACACACACATTTTCTTGTGTTGCAGCCACCTGGTCTCTCTGTGTAAATTTGCATGGTAAAAATACTCAGCCTTTACCCCTCTCCCTCTTTTTCATGTTTCTAAGGGCAACTGATCAGGAAAACCAGCTTCACATGTATTCACATATTATTCTTAAAGGCCACAGGAGAGGTGACGTAACAGGATACTTATTAAACATGAAATTGAAGCCAGCAATGCTGTACCATTATTTGAATAATGTAATACTTCTATCAAAAGGTGTCCTGGTTAAGACCATGAACTCTGAAATCAGAAAGACTCAATTTTTACATAGCATTTGTAGCTTTGGGCAATTGAATTTGCTCTCTAAGTCTTAGTCTCTTTATCTGTAAAGTGGAGAAAACAATGATACTTAATAGGCTTACTCTACAGTTCAAAGGTAATCATATCTATACCTGGTACATAGTAAATAATCAAAAACACTAAACTATTATAGATAACAAAGAACATGCCTTCCAAATGTGCCTTCTGTGTCACCAACTGGCCCATGGTCAGCTCACAAAAGATTGTATCAGTGGCATAGAGAAGTGCTTCATAGAAATACTGGCTAAAGTGAAGATATCATTAATTATTTTGAAAGCAAAACTTAATCCTGAGAGTCTTTCCAGTCCCTGAGGTAATGCTGTTAGATTTCGAAAGAAATCAGCGATATAGTTGCTTGCCTCCACCCTCTCCCCCAGCCCTCTTTAACTGCTCTATAATGGATACCTCAGGCTTAAAAACACCACTTTCACTCAATACACATCTCGGGAGGAATCCTTCAACACCCTCCACCAGAAGGACAGAGTGACGTTTACCTTCCTACCCAATGAATAGACCAGTATGTGAGTCATGTCCTCTTGGATCAAAACATGTCAAACCACCTGCCCGTGTTTCCTCTGAAGAAGGGAACAAACCTTCATATCACAAGTGAAGAGCAGGGCGCCTGGGTGGCTCAGTCAGTTAAGTGTCTTGAGTTTAGCTCAGGTCATGATCCCACAGTTCATGGGTTCAAGCCCCGCCTTGGGCTCTGTTCTGACAGATCAAAACCTGGAGTCTGCTTGAATTCTCTCTCTCTCTCTCTCTCTCTCTCTCTGTGCCCCTCCCCTGCTCACTCTCTCTCTCTCTCTCTCTCTCTCTCTCTCTCTCTATCAAAAATAAATAAACATTTAAAAAAATTTTTAAAAAGTAGAGAGCAAAGATTGCATACAGAAACAGACTAGTCAGGGCAACACTCATTTGTGGATGTACTTCAGTTACATGCGAAGCACTCTTATTCATCCAAGGATTTGATTATGGGGAAGCCTGGTGGTTGCTAGAGCTTGAAGATCAACTAACCCAAATTTATCACCTTCTGGCTTTTAGAACTCCATGGTTGCTAAGAACAAGAGCCAGTAGAAGTGCTGAAAAAGTATTTGTGTCAGGCATCTCCAAACTAAGGCAAGACATCTCATGACTTGGGAAATTTTCTGTTCTCTTATAAATGCTGCTACACTCCCTAGACAGTCAGTCAGCTTATTAAAATAGGCGTCTCTAAATGTGTACGTTGGAATTCTTGAATCTCTGCCAGGTAATGACATCTCTGAATTATTCTACCTCTCTGGTCCCCAAAGATCAGCCAACTCTTTCTGTGTCCCTGGCAGTAAATCATGTAGCTAAAGCTACAGGAAGTGAACACCAACCAAACTGGATAAACAGTAGAGTCAGTTAAGTGTAACCAATCATCAGTTACCTTTTCTTCTCTACCTACCTTTTCTGGAAGTTTTCTTCAAAATGCTCAAGCACTTTGGTTAAGGGCCTGTTGGATCTTCTTTTATTTCTTTGGTCTTTTCTCCCTACACATCACCTGGAACTCCAGTGATGACTATATGGGAGGTGCCTGGCTTCCTATCAAGTAAAGGTCAGGTTCTTATCTACGATTCCCAGAGGCTTCTTTGTTTCTTTCATTACAGTCCAATAGAACTTTCTGCAGTGATGAAAATGCTCCATAATCTGTACTGTCCAATACAATAACCATCAGTATGACTGAGAAACTGATCTTTAAATTTTATTTAATTTTAATTAATTTAAATTTAAATATCTGTACCTGCCTAGCAAACACAAAGCACATCTAGAGAAAGGGCAGTTCTGTTTCTGTTTCCAGATCACTGACCATGCTGAGTTTTCAGACACAAAACTTTCTCTGTGTAATCATCAGCGTTAATTCATTAAACCACCTATTCATTCCACAGACATTTACTGGGGGCTCACTTTGTGCCAGACACTGAAAACAATCTCAGTGTCCCAAGTGATCACTTAACAGGTGAAGGAAAAGAGAGCCACTATCAGCCTCAAGCTTCCTTTAGGTAAATAACACCTTGTTTCTCATCTTATTCTTGGAAAGCCATCTTATGCAGTTTTAGACAATGATTTAGATGATGTAATTAGATATCATTTTGACCTGGCTTTTATTTTCTGAAAATTCTGCCTAACAAGACTTTCTTTCTATACTGTAATCTGTTGTTTTTTTTTTTCTGTTTATCCAAGAAAACTTTGAGCTCCTCCCAAAGTCCAAAGGCTCCTAACACTTACAGTTGGAACAAACAAAAACTGACATTATTGTGGGTCACTTGGGTTGATCCATCTTCCTTCCCTTATTAAAACCTTTATGAATGTGGAGGCAAAGACATGCCCCTAAATCTCTTTATTGCTCTCCTTTCTTACCTGCAAAAATGGGGCTAGTCTGATATTCTCAACAGTCCTTGAAGTGCATGTAAGAAATGAAAAGCAATCTGATATTTTTTTTAAATGTGCAGAATATGACATAATTCTTTCAATTCCACCTGTCTATTGAAAATGTTGGGAAAATAATCTGCCTGTTGTTTAGAGATTGAAATAAAATGAACAGTCTTTATAAGGGCAGATTTTTCCAAATCCTCACAGGTATAACTAGGCAAGCAGGAAAAGGGGGAGGCAGTGAACTCTGGCTGTAGCTCTGAAGCCCACAGACTTGCATGATGAGGAATAGTTTGACTGCCTCCAGCACCTAATAAATATTACAGTTGATCCCAGCATTCATGAGTAATATGTACTTTTATGATTAGAAGAAATCTAAGTAGTTAGGCTGCCTTTCTATTTAGATAAGAAGAAAGTAAGGGCCAGCATGAATTTTTAATTATGCGTATTTAGAGAGACCATGGTTTGCTGCCTCACATAGAATCTATTCATTTAAGGTTCTTGAAAATTACATTAAGCTGGGTTAGACCAGTAGGAGTCACAAGGACACCTCTCATAATGTACGTAAAGCAACCATTGAAGAAATGAGAATTGAATGTAAAGGAGTGGTAGAAACCACCCATGTAATCCCTGCTTTTGGCTCTTTCCTAATGAATTAGCTATAAGATAACCTTATTAAATGCTCACACACTACCTCACTGGGATTGGAGTGAGAAAGGGAATACAGAAGCTTGAAAATACCACTCTTGACACCAGGGCAACAGAGTGATTCTCCTTTAGAAATGCGCACAATGTTCTGGATTGGGGTGGGTGCCCAATATCTTAAGTTTTTTGTTTTTGTTTTTTTAATGTTTTTATTTATTTCTAGAAGAGAGAGAGAGAGAGAGAGAGAGAGAGAGAGAGAGCATGAGCAGGGGAGGGTCAGAGAGAGAGGGAGACACAGACTCTGAAATAGGCTCCAGGCTCTGAGCTGGCAGTCAGCACAGAGCCCAACACGGAGCTCAAACCCACGAACCACGAGATCATGACCTAAGCGAAAGTCGGACGCTTAACCGACTAAGCCACCCAGGCGCCCCCAATGTCTTAAGTTTTAATAATATTGCTAGGGATGAGCTTCATGAAATGTCTGGACTTTAATCCAATTTCCCCATCATTTAATGGAGTAAGAGGGGTCTCTTCTAGATACAATATTCCAAGGTAACAATGTTGTCTTTTTGTTTGAGAACATAATAAATGAGGGTAGAAAGAGCATAACCTTTGAGGGCATCTATCCATTCATTGAAACAAATACTTCCTGAAGATAAACATGTGCCAAGCACTGTGCTAAGTTGTGTGTATAATGAGGACAGAGACCATAGACCCAGAATGCATGGGGCTTTTAGTGTGATGCTAAATAAAGACAGGAAACTAGTCGGCAAAGCTGCCTATTACACCACCCTAAACCCAGGACTCTATCCATTTCTTCCTTAAATACTATCCCATAATTAAATCCTTTTAACAGGAGAGGTTGGGTGGTCAGGAGAGGCTTCTCAGAGCCAAGGTCTGTGGGTCAGAAAGGACACACCATCATGAGAAGAGTAGAAAGAGGGATGTTGTAGAGGGAATAGCTGTTTCAATGTGCTTGTCCCCAAAGTGAGGGCAAGTGTGATGTAATAGATTCTTACAACTCAAAGCTTGGGGCTCAGAGCAATAGCCTCACCTGGGAGCTTGGAGAAATGCAGAATTTCGCCCCATCGTCTACAGACCTATAGAGTCACAACTGCATTTTAGCAAGAACTCTGGTGATAAATAAATACATTAAAGTCTGAGAAGCACTGGATTAGAGGAATTCAGAGGAGTCCACAGGACTGGAACACAGTGGGTCAGGGGATAATGGAGATGGGTCAGGAGATAATAGAGATGGGTCAGGAATCTGAATGATGAATCCTCCAAGAAGATTTCGATCTGAACCAGCCACACTCCAACCTCAAACCTTTCTGCCTTGTTTCCAAACCTACAAACTTTGTGTCTTTGAACAAAGTTATTTAGCTTTTCTTAATCCTCTCTACAATCCTGAAAGGAAGCTATTGTTATTCCCATCGAGCAGATGAGGAAACTGACTATCCAAGTATTTAAGATATTTGGCCCATGGGTGGTGTTCTGAAAATAGTAGCAGTGGCTGGAAGTCTTTTCTTTCTTGGCTATTCATAAAGAAACCAATGGGGACTGATGAAGTAGATGCAACCTTAGAGAAAGCTGTCTTTTCACTGTGATAGAACCTTCTGAGTCTCAAAGTCCAGTCCCTTGAAAAGCTTCACGACAGATAAGTACTTTTAGGGTTTTAGTGTACATGTGATCAACAGCATTGCCCTTCTGTTGATACCGATTTGTTTCTGACCCCAGAAGAAGGTGCAACCCTCAGAGAGTTCTGTGGTTTACATCTCCCCTGGACATCTGCTCTCTGGCCTTCTGCTTCTTGGCCTCATGGCTTCAGTGTCGGCATGACCAGCCTCTTTCCCTGACATGAGCCTGTCCTATATATAGCTTCTTCGTTCCTCTTATGACCCAGGATCTCCCAGTTGCCCAAGTTTGGCATCCCCTGTGATCATAATCTGATTTTTGTAGGAAAATCCCCTGGATTAACATCTATGCTCAAGTCCAACACGACAAGGAGCAGGAGATGATTGGGTCAGTGAGCCAAAGTGAAAACGCCCCCAAAATCACACTCAGTGACTTCACCGAGCCCGAGGAACTGCTGGACAAAGAGCTGGACACCCGGGTCATAGGTATGTGTGCTGGTACCACCAAGCTCCTGTGTCCTCTGTCCTCCAAACCCAAGGTCAGCCGGCCCATGTGGCCTGTCCTTCAGCTAGTATCAGACTGGAGGGGGGTGTAAAACAGCTGGCTACAGAGACATAATCATGCTCTAAAATTTGTCTGCCACCTCTGGCCACATTAAATTGGTATATATATATTTTCCCCCTTTAAAGTAGACCAGGATAGAAAGTGCTGTGGTTAGAGTGCAGGAGGGATAAGGCCAACTATGCATTACTGTTGGGATGTGTCTTTCTTTCTCTGAAGCAAAAGCAGATGTCCTAATTCATAAGCACATTAATATGGGCTCTGGTATCAGAGGGCCCTGGGTGCATTTTCTTGCTTTGCCAATCTGCTCGCTCTGTGACCCCCTCTTTACCTCACATTCCTCATCTGTGAAATGGGAATAATAGTGCCTACCTTCCAAAATTGTTGTGATGATGAAATGTGCCATTAGCACAGTGCCTGCCACGTAGTACGTGTTCAATGCACGTTGCCTATGACCGTTGTCATCAATGGCAAGTAAGAAGGCAAAGCATTGCTCCCACGTTGTGTGTGGGTGTGAGAGATGGCACACCTTCACATCGATGACATAAGCCAATGAGCTGGTAGGATAGCCTGTTTGAGTGTCCTATTTAATAAATACATATTAAGCACCTGTTCAAGGTGGCTTGGTATTTAGCAGTAAATAAAATAGACCTAGACTCCTGCCCTCGTGAAATTGATATCCTCTCTCCCTCTGTCTTCTCTTCCCTGCAGGAGGGATTGCCACCATTGCAAACAGCGAAAGCACAAAGGAGATCCCCAACTGCACTAGTGTTTAATACCAACAAGCCACATGGTCAACCATCTTTCTGACTTTATTTTTGATGATTACTATTACTATTGTTATGGGAAAATGAAAATGTCTTTTTTACCTTTTGTTTACCAAGGGCCCCTTCATGAAGAGCAGGCAGATGCTTATTAGCTTTGGGAGGCAAAGGCATTCTTAGCCAATTAAATGAGACAAAAAAAACGAAATTGCTATATTTGTGCTGAGGGCAAAGGATGCATCTTCCCGTGGCCTCCTTGCTTTATTCTGCCACTGACAGTGTGAGGACTCTTTCTCCTTGTGGTCTCCTTTGTTGTTTGTTTGTTTGTTTTGGTTTTTTAATTTTTTTTATGTCGGGTTGGCTTTTCATTAACCTCCCATGTCCCGTCTTTCCCCCCTACCCCCACAATCACCAACACCCTCCCCCCCCAGCACACACACCTACAACACAAACCATTTCCCAGTTAGATCTGCAGGAGGTGGGTTGGTGGGGAGTGAAAGTAGCTGCAGAAAGCATGCACACCTTTATGAAGGAGGCCCTGCCTCGTGCATGTCGATAGCGAGGCTACAGGTGGCTTATTGTACATAATTACAATGTAAATAGCTTTTTATTTCCTAAGAAATAATTTAATGTTTAGTAAAAAAGAAAACTGAAAAAAGAAAGATGCGTGTGTCGGCTTATGCACTCACCCTCAGAGCTGACCAACCCCCAGGCCTGCTAGATGTGTTGGGTTCTGGACGCTCTTCAGTTGTCTGTCACACTTAACTCTTGCATCTCTGTGTCCATGCCATGGCTGGTTTCTACATGTGTATATAAAGGGGGGTGGGATGGGGAGGGCTTCTTTGGGACAATTAGTAAAGGAAGGACTCGAGTGACATCTTAGAACAATGAGGGTCTTTCTGTTCCATCTGTGATGTGGAAGAAGTTCCAAGGTGAAGCCCACCAGAGACTTCAATCTGAGACCCAGGTGGGAAAACAAGGCTTCTCCTCCACAAGGAAAGCATTGAGGGTACTTTCCAGCCTGGGAAGGTGGTTTTCACTAATGAAGCTAGGCAATAGTTCTCAATGGAACAGTCTTTATGCTTTCTGGTTGGCTTCCATGGAAATGTATAATGCTCATGGAGAATTCCTGGACTGTTTTTAGCTCAGGAAAGTCCCCTGGGCACCAGATTAGGCCTAGCGAGTGCATCTTGGCACCGGAGTCCAAGAGGCTAGGAGGGAGGTGGCATTTGTGGAATCATGAGTCCATGTAAGCCCTGCAGGCCAGATAGCGGGCTAGCCTTTAATGATATTAGTCAAAGATGATTTTAGCAAAGCTGTGCTATTTACTTGTCAGATGTACACAACTTCCTTAAAGTCAAATGTCTGCCTTGAGTTCCCTTAAGATAGTTCTTGCCTCTGGGGTGAGTGGCTTCAAAGCCAGTTTCTCCTTTCCAGCATCCCAGCCCCTTCACGCATTCACACACTCTCCTTCTTTTCCGTAGGGTCACTTTAAGCCATGCCATAAGCATTGTTTTCTTTTCAGGCTCAGCTTGAGTACACTTGTTTCAAAAAATGATATACTCTATATATACAGGAGGAAAGGCCGGATTTTTTACCTGTTAATTTTTGTGAACTATTGTTCGCATTCTTCTCTGTGAGACCCCTAGAGAATGTGACCTAGAGAAACCTGACTGGCTACAGCATAGATAAGGATAAAGAACATTTCTAAAGATCCTGCTTTTTTGTTTCAAGGGTTAAATGGGGCAGACAATTGCAATACTTGTACTAAATACTGGAATACAAATGCATGAGTCATGTCTATATATACAGTATATGTACATATACTGTTCTTGATTTTATTGTTCCATTTGAATATTTCTACTGTAAAAAAAAGACAGTGGTTTTGAAATTGTTGAAAATAAATGTATTTTTGTACATCAAAGCTACATAACTGGCTGAGACTTTTTTCTTTGGGCAGTTTTCTTTATTGTTATCAGTCAGTTATTGCTACTCCAATGCTACGTGGCAAAACAAAACAAAGAAAAAACAAATGGCTTACAACACAGAGATTTATGTTTTACTCATGAATGTTCAGGTTGGCTGTGGTTTGGTTGAACTCATTTGGGCCTGACAGATCTCTCCTGAACTAGTTTGGATGCGGTCTTCAGTTGGGTCTGGTCTTCTTCATGAGTTCTCATGAGACCATCAGCTACCCAGGGCATGGCTTTTCATGGTGGATTACAGAATTCACTTACAGGTGAAGCCAGCAGAATACTCTATGCCTCTAAGGCCTTGGCTCAAAATGGTCACTCTCTCTTTACCATTATCTGCATTCTATCGACTAAAGAAAACCACATGGCCATGTTCAGCATCAGTGGCCAGAGAAATAGTCTCTGCCTCTTCTGGTGTAAGGCGCCACTAAATCACCTGGCAAAGGTGTGGACATATAATTCCAATCAAACGGAGGGCATGAAGAATTGAGGATAGTAGTTAACAACAGTTCAGTCTACGACACTTATTCATTTTCTATGGTCCTGAGGGCAGCTTTCATTAGATGACCCATTTCCAAATTCAATCCCAATATTTGTGGCCAGGGCTTCTGAGCAGAAGGCTTGGTAACCCCAAGGCCTTCCAACACTGGCATCAGATCCCAGTGGATGGTCGATAGAACTCCAACTCAGTCCTTGAAGATTTTAGCAGAGGAAATGAAAAAAGAAGAAACAAAAAAGATGTATATTCTTTATTATTTTTTATTATTTTAATCTTTTTATTTTTTTAAGTTTTTTTAAAAATGTATTAATTTTGGGGCACCTGGGTGGCTTAGTCAGTTAAGCGTCTGACTTTCGCTTAGGTCATGATCTCGCGGTTCGTGGGTTCAACACTCGCGTCGGGCTCTGTGCTGACTGCCAGCTCAGAGCCTGGAGACTATTTCAGAGTCTGTGTCTCCCTCTCTCTCTGACCCTCCCCTGCTCATGCTGTCTCTCTCTCTCTCTCTCCTAGAAATAAAAAAAAAAATGTATTAATTTTGAGAGAGAGAGAGGGAAAGAGAATGAGTCAGGGAGGGGCAGAGAGAGACAGAGAGAGAGAATCCCAAGCAGGATCCACACTGTCAGCATGGAACCTGATGTGGGGCTCATTCTCCTGACGGGCAAGCTCATGGACCTGAGCCCAAACCAAGTTGGACGCTTAACCGACTGAGCCACCCAGGTGCCTTTTAACCTCTTTAATAGATCTTTTAATAGATCTTCCCCTGTCCACTGCTGACTAAGGAATCTGGAAGGATGAATGAGTGGCTCTTCTCTAACATTAGTACTTAGGTGAGCTAAGAACTTACAATAAGGGCTGTATGTTAGATGTTTCAATTATTTTTTTAGTGTTCAAAATGTGTATAATAAATTTCTATGGACCGCAGAAACCCAAGAAACCCTAAAACTTTGGTCAATAATTTGCTCCTATATTTTGGATACTAGCTGACCATTCCAGAATCTTATGTTTTTAACTCAAATGAAAGATGTAGGATAAAAGAAAGGTAGTTTTATTTTGATTCATTAATGTATTTTAAAATTATGTATTATTCTTGGCATAACGAGTTATGCTCACCTTTTAAAAAATTATACTGTAAAGTAACTTCTTCAAATATTGGGGATGTCATTTATAGGGCCTCTAAAAGAAATGGTGAGGTGTTTTTGGTCTAACTAGTGGTTCATAACATAAAATGCCTGCACATCTTTAAGGGATTTTTAACAGTTTTGAGCTTCCCCACTAATGTAAAGTGTCTAATGTTCTTATCTCACGTCAAAAGCGATTTTTCTAAATGCAGTCATTTTTGCTTTCCAGGGGATCTGAATTCTTCCGATGTTAATTTATGTCAGGGTTGATAAAATTGCTCCACCAGATTAAAAAAGGATGACAGTGAAATAAAGTGGTAAAACAGTATGAGTCAGTTGGTTCGTTGGGGCTAAGCCCTGCTAGGAATATAGCCTGTGTGTCCACCACCAGCACAGGTCTGCCAGATTTCTCCTAGCAGACAGTCAAAGGCAAATGGCAGAGAATGGGATTGGCATGATAGCTATTTCTATGCGGGGTTTCTCACAAGTAGTGGGGACACTCTTTGCACCAGATGTGTCTTCTTTCAGGAGACCCTAAACCTGATAAGCCTGCAGAAGTGCTCAGTCTGGAGCCCAACAATCAGCACCTTGAGCAGAGTTTCTGAGGATTCTCCTGTCTGTTGAAGTTTCAGAATAGATGCTCTGTCTGTCACTAAAATCGCTCAGGGAGAGTTACTGGGGAAAAGTCACCTCCCCTGGTTCCTGTTACCATGATACAAGGCACCTTAATCTGCAGAAGTAAGAACCTCTTCCAAATTGGCTCGTTGCCTCCTGGGCAACAGCTGCAGCTCCGAGAGAGTCACCCAATTGAGTTATCTGGAACAAAAACATACTGTGAGTCAAGGTGGTGATGGATTGTGCCTTGGAAAGAATATTAAGCCAGGAATTAGGAGATCTCTGACTTTCAGCAAGTCATTCTGGACCATGATTTCTTATTTGTAAAAGGAAAACACTTTATGGCCTGCCTCACTGGCTACTTCTGATTTACAGAGGTGTGAAGAGAACATCGCCAATTCCAAAGTTGATAGATGACTAGTACGAGCGTACTTAGAAGAACTCTCTTCTGTAGAGGGATAGGCTGAGAGAGGAAAGTGACTTCCCTATGGTTATATAACAAAGTAACGTGGAGCTGGAGACAGGACCCATGCCTTTTTATAATAGGATGGTGTTCTTTCCGCCACATCCCTTCCTGACAAACTTGATTGAACTGCACATGACTGAGCATCAGTGGAAAGCCTAATGGTTATGCCAATATGGCTTCTGTATTTATGGTGTCCAGAATGGTTTAGAATCTAACTTCCCAAGTGTGTTCATCATTCAGTGGCTCATAACCCTCCACATGGCATTGCCCTCCTGACCCACTTGTGTAGCAGCCCATGGCCTGATGCCCTTGCTTCCCTGGCTGGACTGAAAGATGGCCACTCAACAGACAGCTGCCAGACCCCAGCTTCGCATGCTATGCTGCTTGCCTTTTAAAGTAGTTGGCCTGATTCAGAGGGAAGAAGGCCAGAGAGCAAACATAAGCAATGGGAATGCCTCATCCTGACACACACACCAGATCCTGCCAAATTCTCTCGTCTACTCTTACAGTACTGCCAAGGGGGACCAGATGCAGCCCAATGACCTCCAGAGTACTACTGCATCTTGATGTCCCTTAAACTTAGTTTAATTACCATTAACTTTACAGTAGCAGAGTGCCCTTTAAAATGCTCTTTGCCTCTGTGTTCTCAGACCATGTATCATGATGAGATATAGGTTCATTCGGAGCGGAATCAGTGGCACAATGTATACAAAAATGGGAGGAGAATCTCGGCTAGAGTTTAATTTATTCAGACATTAAAAATCTCAATAAAACTCCATTACTTTTTCATGATCTGAGGCCCAGAGGCATATAATCACATAATCAGGGTCCAATTTCCCTATCTATAAGTTGACAATAATGACATCTATCTATCTACTTCACAGTGTTGGAACCCAGATCAAATAAGATAATTTGAGTAAAAACACACAAAATAACTATGACTTGACAAATAATGAATTGAACCTGACAGGCCCTAGTTCTTTTGTGGTGGATCTCTTTTCTCTGTCCTCTCTGCCCTCGAGTTTTAAAAACCACCTGACCAGTCATTTACCTGCTTACCTACTCTCACCTAGGGCTGTACTTTCAGGGAAAGAATCAGAATTATTGGAGATATATACCATCCCCTTCCATTCCCCCTCAGA